AGGTGTTAGATGTGTAAATATTTAGGTGTTAGATGTGTAAATACATAAAAATTGAATAGTATGTATGTAAATATTTCAATTCACATGAGAAAAGTGTAAAAATGGTCCCTTGACTTTTTAAATTAGTCGTCATTGGGGATCGTTTTAGCTTATATTGAAAGAATCTGAGGATTAATTTGATACTTTTATAGACTCTGAGACTAAAATGATCTCACGTAAATAGTAAAAAAAAAAACTATTTTGACACTCTACTCTATTAGTACTGCATTAATTCTTATAGACTCTGAGACTAAAATGATCTGACGTAAATAGTAAAAAAAAAAAAAAAGCTATTTTGACACTCTACTCTATTAGTACTGCATTAATTGACATGTTAATTCTTGTTGAAAATTTTCAACAATAACCACCACAAAATAATAGAATCCATTTGGGCAGCTTTTAAAACAACCACCACAATTCTATTTAGCTGTATAGCCTTTTTGATTGTCTTTAGAAATTTTTTAATTTGTCAGTGTGATAATTATAAAAAGAGTTATTTTCAGAGATTTTTAAAAAGGAAAAAAGAAAATATAACACCCATATCAACTGTAAAAAGAAAACATTTTTTTTCCAGCAATAATTCAACAGTTACTTTTTATAAGACATTTGCAGGCATCAAACAAACACATATTCTAGTTTATTCCCAAAGAAAACCAACACAATAAGATAATTACACTCTAGTATAAAAAGTTTGCATTTCAAGAGTGTAAAAGTCCCCAACCTTGTGGAGATGGAATGACATTTCTCCAACTTCAACTGTAACATCACTGGGAAGGCCAGTAGTGCAGAACCTGCATTGAAGTGAAAGATCAGCCTCAACATGAGGAGATATGCAATTACTGAGAATAAGTACATAGAAGCCACATTGGGGCATTTACATACATACCACACAATTCTTATATATTTGCATTTGTAATACCTAAAATTTGCTTTTTACATTTATACCACCGAAATGTTTCATATCACATCAAACATGCCATTATTTTAATTTTTAAAATGTGAAATACACCTTTTTCATGCATAGCTGCTAAGGTGGTATGTATGTACAAATTGTAGTTAGTTATTAGATATGTAAATACATAAGAATTGAGTGGAATGTACTTAAAAGTTCCTTGTTCAAAACATGATGTCTGATGGTTATAGCACAATATGATGCTGAACCTCAATTCATATTTCAGAACAAAACCAGATTTCTTGAAGACCATATGTCTGAGTGGCGAGTCACCATATTCTTCCCTTTTAAATTTTCAACTTATTTATTTGTTATGGTATGTACAATATTAGATTTATTCCAGAGTTCTTGAAAAATATATCATAAATGTTCAAGGAAATCCTTTTAATGTTGTGTTCAAATTCATTCAATATTTATGAGAAAATGATAATAGATTGTCGGAATTTTAGGAATTTCTAGTTTTACTATCTTTTATTTTTTTATTATTTTCTTTTTTTAGTAGTTTCTAATTTTAGAATTAGTTCTTGTTGGTGATTTCTATTTCCTTTTTCTAGCATAAGGATTTTATAAGTTTCCTAATGTGGTGGTCTTCCCCCTGCTCTCTAACTTGTAACCAAGTCATATGAAATTGAAGAGGAATAATTATTTCTCCCCTCCACAAATTTAGATGGTATCAAAGCAGAAATAGCCGTCGAAATTGAGAACAAAATCCCAATTGGATCCCATCGGCCTGGTCGCTTGTGTTCTAGGCACCGTGGTCACCTCCTTTTGCTCTGCTCTTGCCTGCAACCTTATGACACATTTATGATTAGTTGGGAAAATAGACGAGATTGTAATGCAGGAAGACTTATAAAATTCTGGTCTTTCTCGCACTTCCACTCTGCTTCTACTCGAAACCATCGACTAGTTAGGAAAGCAGATGGGATCGTGATCCGCAGTATATTGAAATCGCTGAGTATCAATTCCGTGAAGTATCTTTCCTCATGATTTTGCAATATCCTTAGTCATCAAGGTTTTTGGACCAACGAGCTTTGGGTCTGCCACGACATCCAGAGTGCGGCTTCTTATATGATGACTTCGTCTCAGACATGAAATAATTCATGAAAGAACTCGGATCTTCGATTTCAATTGTGTTCGTTTCACTTAGAAGTGGTTTCTCTCAAGTCAAGATCGACGGAGGAATCCATTGTTGTTGCTCAGGCTTCTTCACCTCGAGGGCTGCTGCCCATGCATTTTCATCACCGATTCGGCTAACGTGGGCAAAATCCATCTATTTCTCCTCCCATTCGGCACATTTGACCCATAAATGGGTGTTCCTTCACGCACGGCAGATTTTGTCCTCAAGTTTCTTTCGGTGGCGGAGGCGGTAATCACAAAGTTTGGATCTCTAGGCGAGAACCACGCGCGCGACTGTTTACACTACAATTGCCTACTTTTACTATCACAACGACCAAAGTCGATTAGTATCTTTCTACTTTTATGCGGTCCTATAAGTCAGTTATAATAGCTCTTGTATCTAGGTGCGTTGATACGAACAAAGAAGAGTGAACAAAATTCATCAGAACTTCAAACTGTCGGTTTCTAGCACATAAACCAAGGAATCAAATCATCTCAGAACTCAACCAGGGGGGTTCTTAGGTACGAATTCACTGAAAAAGTCCTAGAATAAGAATCCAATGGAAGATTCTAATCATCTTAAAACTCAATAAAATTTTAAATTAATTGAATTTTAGAAAAATAATCCATTGAGGAGTCCAATTGTCATAGAAATTAACTATGGAGTTCCCAAGGGTTCTTAGAAAATGAATCCACTAGAGAAGTCTGGCCATCTCAGAACATAATTAAGAGTGGTTACTAGGATACAAACCCGCCAGAAAAAGTCATCTTTAAACTCGACTAGGAAGTTCCGAGGATATGAACCCATTTGAAAGAGTATGACCATCCTAAAATTCAACTAGAGGCATATGTTTGTGCTATTACGTGGAGTCTTATTGTGTCAATCAATTGTCAATTTAGATCCATCAATTTTGTTGATCAAGCTTGACGATGAGTTTGTTAGGGGGTAAAGGGAGGACTGCTTACTAAAAAAAAAATTCTCATGCATGGCCTCTTGGAGTTGTACTCACAATGCTACAGTATCAATGCCGCAGAGCTACTATAACAATGTCGAGGCACTATCTTTGCAATGCCGCAACACTATTCTGATGCGTCACGGCACTACATCATAGTGTTGCGAAGTGGGAGTCTGTTTTAAGCATTTCTTTCAGTGATTTTTTATGTTGGGTGCCGCAACACTATTCTGATGTTGCAGTGCAATATTAGAACGTCGCGGCACTACATCATAGTGTTGCGAAGTGGGAGTCCGTTTTAAGCATTTCTTTCAGTGATTTTTTATGTTGGATTTCAAATTCGCTTGTACAAAAGAAATGAAATTAGTGTCCTGAAGTGTTCTAAGATATGCAGAGGCTTGATTATGGTGTAATTTATACAATTTTTCTCATTTTTTTCATAGTGGATTTCTTGGTGTACTGTAGCTCCATAGTTTTTTTCTCGTTTTCGGATTTTTCCAATTTATATCTTGTATTTTTGTGATTTTCTTGTTTTGTGAACTTCTGTTCAAAGTTTTGTTTCCGGTCACTCGAATCAATTTCCACAATTTAAATCTCCCAACATTTTGTTAGCATCACTTTTAATCCAACTAAAACATTCTTTAAAAACATTATGTAATTAGATTCACCTAGTTAAATTGGATAGTCTGTCAATTATATCCCTAACAAGTTATCAAATGCTTCTAGTCAGCTGTGAAACTCATAAACCACGCAGTACTCCGGACTACCTCACATCGCGGTCAGGCTCATCAAATTCCACTAATTGTATTGCAATCATCGTCATAAAATAATGGGTGTGTGCAATGAGCGAAATCACAATATATGAAATTGTAAGAATGAATGTTGAAACTTCATCCCTGAGATCTTAAAATTCGCACTGCATTTTATGAAACCAATTGTATCGTTGAAATGTTCCAAATGAACATGTCGCCAAATTCTGTGTCTTTTTTACTTTGGCTAATTCCACCTCAATAAATTACAATAATTAAATGAAGATCTACATACATATCACCTTAACTCTAAGGTCTATGCCACCTTAAGTCTTTGAAAAATTGTGTCAATGTTCTTATCATTCTTCCTAGGAAGTTCATCTCTAAAGGTTATGCCACTCACGATGCTTTAGTAAAACCTGCTAAAATGAACCTAGTACTTAATAATAAATAAAAATTTTAGGAAGATTTGCATGCATGCCACTCAATTCCTATGTATTTACATATCTAACACCTAAACTTTAATTTTTACAAAAATGCCACTATACATATGCATGAAAAGGTGTATTCCACTCTTTAAAATTTAAATGGTGACATCTTTTATGTGATATGAAAGATTTAGTTGGTGTAAGTGTAAAAAAGTAAATTTTAGGTATTAGATATTGAGTGGTATGTATGTAAATGCCCCCGAAAACTTGAGTGGTAGCCCGAAATGCCCCAAAAACGCAGAATGACTTAAATAAATGAATACATGCCTTAAATAGTGTATTTCTCATAAACTGAAAAACAAATCAAATATCACCCCAGAGGCATTAAAATAGTGTCTATTAAATCCATGAAAAAAAAAAAAAACAGAAAACAGTTTCTAATTGTAATAAGAAAGGGCATTTATATAAAAACCACCCAATTCATATGTACTTGCATATCTAACAATTAAATTTTACTTTTAATATCTTTACCACCCAAATCTTTCATATCACATAAGAAATACCACCATTTTAACTTTTAAAAACTGAAAAACACCTTTTCATGCATAGGTAAAGTGGTATATATGTAAAATTTGGAGTCTAGATGTGAGAGATGTGAATACAATGGCTATAAGGGGTATGTAGGTAAATCTGTTAAATCTCATTGTTGTAAATTAGGAAGTAAATATATATATATGAGAAAGATTAATATTAGGTAAACTAATTTGAGAACATCTAATTATATGATCTTTTATGTATTATGAAACCTAATTAACTGAGATTTACTTACATGGATTTTATTATATATATATATATATGAAACATTCATAATTAAATGTCCTAATCTATCTTATTTATAAGAGGAATTATGGAGAATTTGGGGTGTGTATAGACTTGTAACTCTAATTCGGTCTTCTTTTCCTCTCTCTCCCCACGTGTTGATAGTGAAATAACCTCTTGCCAACATTTTGCATTGTGTTTGGTTGTTTGTAGTGTGAATTTATTTTTCATATTGTTTTACATAACAATTGGTACCAAAGCCGGATCGACAATTCCGAAAATAGGCGACTGCGATTATGGCGAAGTCATGGACGCAAAATAAAGGATCGAAGCAAGTTAGGCTATGAAATCAGGTGGAGTCATGAAAAATAGCATGTCGTCGTGTACTTCAACATCCATCACGATATTGGAAAAAACGATGATTCATCGAGTGGTTACGCATCCCATCAAGGTTGATGTAATAAAATTTGACAGCAAATGAAACTTTGGCATGTGTCAATACGAGATGATAGATTTGTTGTGTTCTTTGAATCTAGAGAAAACTATTGATAGCGATGAAAGTCCTGAAGAGATGTCAGAAAGAAATAGGTTGAAGATGATTCGAAGTGTTTGTGACTTGATCCAAAATTGCTTATCTCAAAAGATTAATTATTGGTGATGATGGAGACTCCTAAATGAAATTTGTGGAGGACGTTAGAGAACAAATATGTCACTAAGAGTGTAGAAAATCGTTTTCATACGAAGCATGGACTCTGTAGATTTCAAATAAGGCGACGAGTTACTATTGATGAGCACTTGAATGATTTTACAAAAATTTTACCAAATCTATCAAATATGGATGAGTTTGGAGATGAAGACAGAGCACTTTTTCTATTGAATTCGCTTCTGGATCAATAAGAAAACTTCACAATGGCGCTCATTCATGAGAACGTCTTGAGTTATAGCGAAATAACTATGGCGTTGTTGAACCATCAGTTCCATCAAAGGGCAAATGAGTCCACAAAGATAGAGTTGATTGTGGAGGACGTACACTCTAAAGTGGCTGATTGAAAAAAAAAATTGGCAAAAAAGAGTGGCACAAACGATACTTACTCAAAAAAGATGACAAGTCTCGTGGGTGCAACTGCAGAAAAAATTAGAGTGTTTTCTGTTCAGAGATTGGTCATTAGAAGAAAGATTGTTCGAAGTTGAAGGAGAAGAAAAATAGAGTTTTCTTTTAGGCGTACGTCAAACTTATTGTAAAGAGGAGTGATGAGACTAATTGAGATATATTATTATCTACAATTTTTCACAGTTTATGTACAGATGATTCATCTTGAATTTTGGACATGAGTGTTACACATCAAATTTCTTGCCATCGAAAGTGAATATGTGTGTACAAGAAGCTGGAAATTGGTGCAAAAACTATGAGCAAAAAACAAGTTTGTCATACTATTGGTGTAGGCAACGTCTTTATTAGGATGCATGATTATACCATGAGGGAGTTGATAGACATTAAATATATTATGGATATCAAAGAGAATTTACTGTAAATTGAGATCTTAGAGTCTAAGTGCTACGAAGTAGTTATTGACGCAAGAATTATGAGGATGTGGTAGAACATTAATTTTTATGAAGGGGGTTTGTCATTACAACATTTACTATCTTCAGGGCAGTACAGTGACTAAAACTATTGTTAATGATTCTACTGACGTCGCTACATTGTGGCACATGTGGTGAACTCATCCTAAAGAGCCTTCATTTCAGACTTCGGTGAACCAAGGATTGATCAAATGAGTGAACATTTGCAAGCTTGAGTTGTGTGTTTAGTAAGAAGACATGAGTATCATTTGGTGTTGTCATCCACAATACAAAGAGCATTTTAGAATATATTAACACAAATGGTTGGGGCCTGACAAAGAAGACATCATTTAGTGGATGAAGATATTTCGTCTCTTTTATCAATGATTACTCAAAAAATATTTGGGTGTGCATCATGAAGCATAAGAGCGAGGTACTGGAAATTTTCATAACTTGGAAGAAGTAAATTGAAACTCGGACTTATAAAAAGATCTGGTGTATAAGATTAAACAATGAGGGTGAATACACGTCGGATGTGTTTTTAGAAAGTGTCAGAGAGTTGGGATAGAGCAATCCACTGTTTGAGAGACATCGAAGTAGAATGAGACGACAGATGATGAACCAAACCTTGATGGAGAAAGTTTGGTATATTTTGTTTAATGATAGGTTGGATAGATTTTATTGGGTCAAAACCATAAAATATGTCACTTGGTGAATCATCTATTTTCTGCAGTTATTGATAAAAAGACCCTAAAATACATGGGGTCAGGGTATCCTACTAAACTTTATGAGCACTTAAGAGTTTTTTAGTTATCAACTTACTACCACATGCAAAAAGATAAAGTCGAGCCGCAAGCAAAAAAGGCAATCTTTATTGGTTTTAGGCGTGGAATAAAAAGTTTCAAATTTTATGATTAAACGGAGAAAAAGATTAACATTAGCAAAAATATTAGATTTTACGACAAGCTTATTAATGCATCGGGACTAGAAGCAAGTTGAGAACGATATTGAAACCACAAATATACAACAAAAGTTAGAGTTTGATGCAGCTCTATTTGTTCTAAATAATTTGTATACTCCTACTTAGATATCTGATTCAATTGCAGCTCAGAATGTACCTTTTGAAAGTGCTCAGTTGAAGGTGGAAAAAGATATTGAAGATTAGGTCTCTGGTGAGGAATCCATTGTTAGGAGCAGAATCAGGCGCCAGAATATCCCAAAACCGATTTAGTTGAGAGATCATATTGCATTTGCACTTTTAGCCACAAAAGCTGAAATTCCTTGTCACTACAAAGAAGTGGTGGAGAGCGCAAAAGGTAATCTTTGGGGAGAGTTAATTGATGAAGAGATAGAGTCTCTTTGAAAGAATGTTACCTGGAGACTAATGAAGCTTCTTCTATAAAGGAAATTCATTGCGTGCAAATGAGAATATGCAAAAAAGGAAGGATCACATGAAATTCATGTGCAGTACAGAACAAGATTAGTGATAAAATAAATTGTGCAATGAGAAGATATAGATTATAACGAGATATTTTCCCTAGTGGTTAAGCATCCCTTTATATGTGTTCTCTTAGCACTCATAGCACAGTACGGTCTAATTTAAGAGAAACTTAATGTAAAGACTGTGTTCTTACATGAGTAATTGCAATAGAAGATTTATATGTTGCAATCGCCTGATATGGAGCCTCAAAAGGCTTGCTTTTAAGATTAGATAAGTCTTTATATGGATCGAAACAGTGACCACGGTAGTAATACATGAAGTTTGATCGATTTATAATGGGACAGAAGTACACATGAGTCAATATAATCATTACACATATTTTAAAAAGTTGGTCAACTATGAGTTTATCTATTTGCTTCTATATGTTGACGATACGTTGATTGCATCTCCAAGTCAGGTTGGGGTCAATAAGATGAAAAAACAATTATTTAAATATTTCAAGATAGAGTTGAGTGAAACTCACCGAATTTTTAGCATTAAAATTCTCAGGGGCAAGAACGCTGGAAATATTTGGCTCTCACAAGGAGCATATGTTCAGAAAATGATAAAAAAGTTTGGGGTTGATAACTCAAGCAAGGTCGCGAGTTTACTCATTGCATCTCAAGTTTAGTTAAGTTCAAATCAATATTTATATGGTAGAAACAGCAGCCCGGTAGTAATATATGAAGTTTGAGCGATTTATAATGGGATATGAGTACACAATGAGCCAATATAATCACTATGCATATTTTAAAAAGTTAGTCAATTGTGAGTTTATCTATTTGCTTCTATATGTTGATGATATCCTGATTGCATCTGCAAGTCAGAATTGGGTTCATAAGATGAAAAACAATTATTTAAATATTTCAATATAGAGTTGAGTGAAACTCTAAGAATTTTTAGCATGAAAATTCTCATGGGCAAGATAGCGGGAAAGATTTGGCTCTCGCAAGGAGCATATATTCGGAAGGTGATAAAAAAATTTGGAGTTGATAACTTGAGCAAGGCTGCAAGTCTACTCTTTGCATCTCAAGTTTAGTTGAGTTCAGATCAGTATCCAAAAGATAACCAGGAGAGGAAATATATGTGATCGGTTCCTTATGCTAGTGCAGTGGACAGTCTGACGTTTGTCATGGCTTGTATTATACCAGATATTACACAAACAGTTGATATTAAACGGATTCATGTGTGATCCAAAAAAAGCCTTGGCAAGCTGTGAAAAATATTATGAGGTGTCTGAACAAAATAGTTGATGTCATTTTGGTGTTTGAAAGGCAGTCATTTATTATGATTTGTGTGTAGACTATATTGATTTAGACTATAAAGTGATATAGAAAGGCGCAGGTCTACGACTGATTATTTATTAACATTAGAATGAGGTTCAGTCAGTTGGAGATCAATTCTTTAGTTTATTACAGTTTTGTCTACTATGGATGATGATTACAAGGGCAGTCACAAAGGCGATAAAGAAAACATTATGGATGCAGAGCTTATAGAATAACCCGGGAGTTAATTAGGAGTCTCTAACAATATTTTGTGTTAGATAGAGTGTAATATTCTTGGCTACAAATACAGTCCATCATGCTTGTATCAAGCAAATTGATGTGAGATACACTTATTCGGGATTTAATTAATGACGACAATGTTATGCTGAAGAAGAATTCAGCGGACATATTCACAAAGATACTACCAACCCAAATTTCACATACTGTAAAAAATTAGTAAATATTCGAGCTCATGATTGATTGTTTATTCAAGCATTTTAAAGAACTGCACGATGGGCAAGGGCAATCTCTTCGAGAGGGGAATGTAGGCAATCATCTTTGTGCAATCGTTTGTGGTGTTAGAGTTCATTTTAATCATCTCCCACTTATTTGAGAATATTTTATGAAAACTATTAAATATAATGATTGTAAATTAGAAAGTTAATCTATTATAATTATTGATATTAGGTTAACCTAATTAAGATCTATTTATATGATCTTTTCTATATTATGAAATATATCAGGGAGATCTAATTACATGATTTTTATATATTTAATATATTTCTTATTTGTATGTCATAATCTTCTTTTATTTATAGGAATGATTGTGGAGGAATTGGGTGTGTTTTGAGTTGTAATCTTAATTTGGCTATTTTTTTCTCGACCGAAGAACCTCTCCTCGTTGAAGTAGGCGGATTTGCATCGAACCACATAAATTGCACTATGTTTGGTTGTTTTTTTGTTTGTTTGTTGTGTGAATTTGCTTCCAGTATAATTTTGCGCAGCAAAATCTTCCTAAGAACACAACACTAGAAAGTAAGCCAGAATAGTTTAATCATACCAGGCCATCCCTTGACGACGGAAGGCATCAGATTTTGATCCCAGCTTCAGGCCAGCCATCTAATAAATCTAACACAGCTGCACAAGAGAAAAAAATTGTAAGGAAAGCTCATGGAAAAGGACCTCAACTAAAACCTAACCTAGACACTCAAATTTTTTTTAAAAAAAGGGAAATTTACATACATACCATTCAATTCCTATTCATTTACATATCTAACACCCATACTTCAATTTTTGCATACATACCACCTTAACCATGCATGAAAAGTGGTATTTAACTTTTTGAAAGTTAAGATAGTTGTATTTTTGTTGTGATATGAAAATTTTGGATGGTATAAATGTCAAAAGTAAAGTATGGGTGTTACATATGTACATATGTAAATACATAGTAATTAAGTGGTATGTATGCAAATGCCCCTAAAAAAAAGTCAAAAAATTTATCAAACACATAAATAGAGCCTTTAAAGAGCCTATATACTGGAGATCTAAGAAATACTAAAGCTAGGCCCCAAATTTCCTAAATCAAGAGAAATGTGATCTTGAAACAAACTGATAATGCCACAATCCAACAAAAAATGAACAAAAAGAACAGTAAACTGGCAAACCTTAGCTGCTCTCATAGACAACATGATTAAAAAGATGCCATAAAAATCACATATGAGCTGAATCATAAACAATGAAAACCCTAAAAGTTACAGAAATCTACACATTTATGAACAGTTCAAGCAATGTGATTCAGAACTGTAAAATTCATTACAAACCCTAACTTCAGCAAACTGACTAAACCCATAACAAAACAAAAACTTTGCAATGCAACTTAGACCTAATCTGACTGAAAACACACAATTTTGAATCTTGAACCTTCAGATCTCCACAAAGTCTCAGAAAACACAGCTCTGAAACAGAATGTAGTGAACTTAAAGGGGTGAAAATACGAGAGTAGAACGAAAAAAATGGGGGCTTTAGAACTTCTACAGTGTCGCTTCCTCTGGCCTCTCCTTGTATTTAACAGGAAGTTGCAGGCTTTTGTTAGCTGGAGGGGACCGCAGCAGTTAGAAACGGGTCTGGAGAGGGAGACAAGGACTGAAAAACTCAACTTTTGCAGTAAAACACAGAACCCACCCAAAATAACAAGCCTGCAAATTTTAGAAAACGGAAATTTGCATATTTACCAACCAATTCTTATGCATTTATCTAACACTTAAGCTTTCATATTTATAGCTAAAACATTCTTATTTATATATAAAAGATGAATTTCAGCATTAAATAGTGCTTTAGTGCTGTTTTTAATATGATGGACATAAGTTATATATATATATATATATATATATATATATATATATGTAAATTCTCTATAAAAAAAGGATA